ATTCACACTCAAAATAGTAGTTGTAAAAACAAGACTGAAATTTCAGATGATTAAAATTAAGGACCTTCTGACGAGTTTGGTCAAAATTAAGGACTTTTAAGGACCGTACGAATCCTGATTTAACTGTATTAATAATTATATTTCAAAATAAATTTGATTGGAAAAAATATACTAATGTTTGATGGACAAAGGATGCACAAGCAATGGTGGTGCAAAATGGAGGAATTTGTGATGTGCATTTTGGAAGTAGCTACAAATGCAACAGAAAGTCACTGTGTTTTACTTAGATACAAGTTACAAAAACATATCTACATATACAGTCAAAAGTCGTTAATTCGGACACCCATAATCCGGAATGATCTATAATCCGGACCTCAAAGCTTCAAACTTTCTGCGCATGCGTCGCGTTGACGTAAGGCCTTTACGGCTGAGAATATGCTTGTGCGCGTGCACAAAATACGTTTACGAGTGCGCGTTTAATGTATAACGGATGGTATAAGCTAAGCTAAAATGATTTAATTATCTATTTCAGTTAATGTTGCAGATTGCGTTGTTCCTTAATCTTTGAATTGGATCTGGCTTATTATTTTTTGCAGACTGTTAGAGCAATTTTATAAAAGTAAGCTTGAACTTTCGATAATGTCAAATAGAATTTCTGATATATATTTATTAATATGTAAATGATCTACAAAGCGAAAGTATGTTTCGAAGTTTATTAAATAAAAAGTGGAATTGCTACAAAATATGGATAAAGTCATATCCTTTGTTTATCTAAACTTTGTTTATCTTTAACACTGCGGAATGAATTGGAAGTTGATCTGTCAGCACTATCCTTATCTTCAGGGCAGATGTTTTTATTTTATTTGGCTTATAATTCCTTATTAAATGTAGTATTTCATCTCGATGTACTCCATCTTTGATATGATTTAAATCAAATTCCTCGTCATTATAATTCGCTTTCGATAGCGAAGAAAGTAACAGAGGTTATTGAAAACGAAAAAATTTCAATTGACAAATTAGTTGGTATTCTCGACACAGCAATTATAGGACTTGAACAGCGGAACTTTGTAACTGAACAAGAAATTATGTCTGTTTAAAGAATTAAAGAGAATGTATTATCACATAAAAAACGAAGCAACTTAAACAACTTACGTTAAAAGAAATGTTTAATAAAGTAAACAAATAAATATTAAGTTTTTTTTTTTTTTTTTAAATTTTTGATACCCTTTAGATCATAATTGTTCTTTATTTCATAAATTACGGTTTCATATTTTTAATTTTATAATTTCTGCATGCCATCTTACCAGATTTAAACTGATGATCTATAATCCGGAAAAATCGATAATCCGGAATCGCCGAAGTCCCGATTAACGACTTTTAATTTAGATTGTATAAGAATTTTGGATACAGTACAAAAATTATCAACTATATAAAATTTTAACAACTCCAATGCTGATTATTTAAAATTTCCTGCAATGAAATGGGCAGCCAACTCAACATACTGCAGTTTTGTTGGCCATTGAAGTAAGTTAGGCTATCTAGAGAAAAGCATTGTCGAGACTGATTGAACTGCACAGTGAGTTACTGCTTTTCTATTCATTAAACAATATAGGGAGAACTTTCATGAAGTTTTTAACAAATCCTGCATGGCTACTGAGTGTCACTTATTTAACAGACATATTTACTAAGTGTAATAAAATAAATTTATCATTACAAAGAAGAAACATTTCCATTTTCAATGTGACGGATAAAACTGCACCATTTAAATGAAATTTGATATTCTGGATTTTTCACTAGAACAGAAGAATAAATTTAATTGTTTCATAGCTTATGCAGGTGGCCCTCCACTTTCACACAATTTGCTATTTCACACATTTAAAAATTTTGTTTCGATATTGCAAAATTTGTTAACTTCCATGCAGTACTCCCACTTATGTGTTAACAACAGTGGTGCATCCCTGAAATTCTCAGGTTCAAGACCAAACTTTCATTGAGAAATAGTCCATAGAAGCATATCAGCTGATGGGTGGTATTCAACTGACTCTTGGCAAGTTTATAAAGAAAACACCTGAAAATGCTTAAACATGCCTTGATAACTTAATTATGTATATTGATGAATAAATATCTTAAAATACAATTCTTATTATTTTATTTTATTTTTTAAATTTATTTTTCTCCTCCTTCTTTCCCCCTTTTTTTAACATCTGTCTACTTTCAACCATTCAACATTTGCACACATTTTAAGGATCCAATTACGTGCAAAAGTCTGTATTCCTTTTTAAATGAAAATAGTTTAAAAATAGACAATAGAGATAACATTGAAATGTTACAACATTTGCATGACTATGAGTACAACTGATTTAAAAAAAAAAAATGATTTGATAAATGATTCAGGCATATAAAAAGATTTTCAGAAGAATATCTGCATTTATTAAATTGAGCAACTAATATTTTACTTGCATTTGAGATTATCTTTGTATGAGGAACTTTTTTTTATATTATCTTGCAATAAAATCCAAACAGAGAAATTGACTTGATGCTACATCTGATATAAGCATTCCGGTTTTGAACACTGTACTTGACATTAAAAGAATTTGTAATTCAAAAACTCGAATACATTAAAAGCTCTCCATCACAGTTCTTCGAGCAAACAATGTCTGAGGGTCATTGTTACAAATTGGCTATCCCATATTTCTTATCTCAGTATTACAACAAAATTTGCAGGCTTGTTTTGAAACATGCAATTTTATGCAACACAACTCTGGAACATGGAATTCCTCACAGATGACAATTTTCAACTGCAGTGCTGCTGATTTGCATACTACAGTTTTACTTAGCAATTCTTATTGAACAACATATTCAAATTTTGTATGGATTGGTTTAGGTTTGAACAAGTTATCGCTATTTTTGTGATTTTTTCTTAATTCCTGGAAACCAATGTATTTAGATTCAAAGTTTTTCAACTGTTTTTAGTACACTTCATATTTCTAGAACTAACAGATAAGAAACTGATCAAAATCACTATACCTGACGCTTCTGAATGAAGAATAACCTGTACACTATAAGCCAAAAGGGTATTAGGAAGTATACTAAAAAGTACTTTTGCAGACAATAATAATAAGCGATAGGAGTGAAGCATTTGCATATATGGCATAAAAGTCAGGAAAAACAGAACACAAGTGCCTCCAACAGCTGAGCTGGCTGTAAATGAGGAAAAAGAAACAAGTAAATCATACTTTAATAAATGATTCATTGATTATTTAATTTCAATTCTAGACTAAATATAGCATAATAACTCAATTCACCCAGTTAAACGCAAGATATATTATGTTATCACAATCCACAACTTACAGAAATGAATGTTTATAGATATTGTCCCAATATATATAAATATTTGCATTTTGTTGCAGACTATTTTGACATATTATTAATATTTCTTCTGTGTTTTATTTTACGGTAACATAGCCTTTATCCATTGTTCATTTTAAGTAATTTTTTAATTTGAGGGTAATTATTGCATTTCTCATATTTAATTGCTTTATTATTTTGTGGTACTTATGATGCTATGTAATAAGTCAAAGAGAATTAGAGACGACCGTTTCAAGCACACTAGAATATCACATTCTGGAAGCTTCTAGAAAATGCATATTTAAGAGCCTAGGATTGATTTTTATCCAGAATATTCTAAAAATGCTATTCTTCTTCACCCCCTACGCCAGTATAAATACAGGCCCCCTTCGTCAGCGGAAAGACAGTTAAGTTAGTCCATAAGCTGAAGTTCTGCTAAGTTCTCAATTACATTAGCCTTTGTTGTACACAATTTTTAAATTCTACTGCATATGCTCAAGTTATGAATATATGACTGCTAGTGTTTTGGTATTTTTGCAATAAATGCAACATTTAAAGCACAATCAAGCCTTTGTTTTTTTTGCGCCAACTATCTTTAGCTGCTTTTCTTCATTTGTAAAACAATAATTGCTTACAGCTGCAATAAAAATTTCAAATTTCTGTTGGCTGATTCTTCAAGAGATTTCTATGAAACTCTAAAACGTAATAATAAATTCATATTTTTATGCTAAAGAGCTTTAAAAAATGTTTCAATTTTGCATAATAATATCTCTCATATTTTATGTTACTCAGTTTAAATATTAAAAAAGTTGTTTCCTGTTAAAATAGATAGATGTTAATTTTTTTTAAAGACCCCCCCCCCAAAAAAAAAAAAACAGTTGTTACGTTACTGAAGGCAAATAAATATTCATAGTTTTACTAAAAAGCTGCTCTGTATAAAGCACCAAGAAATGAGGTAAGAAACTCAAATGATTCAAACTTACTTCGTGAGAACAATGTAGTAATGAAAAAGCAGAAAGCTACGAGACTTGAAGCATACACCATGAGCCAAATAAAAATGCATAATGGATTACTTGAATTGAAAATAGCACCATTCTTTGTAAAAGGTGAACAAAGCATTATCGTCATCAAAACATTAGAGAAGCCTAGTAATATTAAATGTGAAAAGTACCAACTTAACCAGTTTGTCATATTAGCAAGTCCCATAGTTCTCATGGCTTCCTGCAAAGACAAAGCAAAACATAGTACACATACTAAAAACTACAGTTGTTATATAAAAATAACATACAAAATGTTATGAGATATTATCCATAAAATTGATAAGCAACACAATAAACTTTCAAAGTTATTTCATAATTAGGAAGGAATGTATATGTAATATTAATTTACAGGGTTTGTACGCATTTCTGCACAAGGAAATTAAGTAGTTTTAAGGACTTTTAAGGAGCATTAATGAAAAAAATTAAGGACCTATGAGCATGGGAACTGAATAAATTCAATTAAAAATATTATATCTATGCCTGAATGTGAGTAGCTTGCATTATTATTAAACATAACTTAATTAACATAATTATTAATATTTTGAGAATAAAAATAATTTTATGAAATTTATCAAGAAGCATTAAATATTTTACACTCATAATAACTGCACATATCTTAAAGAAGATAAGTGACATTTTAGTTGCATTTTACTAACAGTTAGCTTTTTTTTTTTTTTTTTTCTTTAAATCTCTCTTTTTGTCACACACTTGCTCAGTCTAGAGGTTTAGTAAGTAGATTTTATGTCAAGCAGCATAGGTTAAAATGAGCATTAAAATCATAAAATCATAATCAGCATGATTCATAACAAAAGACTACTGTTGTCACCGCTCCTGCTCGCTTATAGTAAGACCTGCTAATCAGAACAAACCTGAAAGACCTGATGTAGGCATAGTTAGCAAGTTAGCTGTTCACTGTCTGATGCTGTTAGTGTCATACCTACGTGTAGACTTCCAGGGGTTTAAACTCAGTTAATATAATTTAACTTTCTATTACGCCACTAAAGCATTAGCGGAGATAAGTTGTTTTGCATTAAGTCTCACTAGATGCAAAGAATAAGTTTCACATGAATTTTTATATTTTTGTGTTTTACCTTTTGACCATGGTAAAGGTTTAACACGTTGAGCCCGGCGCCGAATTTGTTGTCCTTTCTGTTCAGCCAGCAGCGATCAGCCGGTGGCAATATTGCGATCAAGTGGTGCAATATTGCCGACTTAAATTATTCATAAATTATACAAAAAGGAAGGAGACGCACATAAAGTCTGAAAGTATTGTTCGAAATGTTATGATGACAATTCAAAACTATTTGGATGCAAGATAGCCAAAAATGTAACCAAAATATTTGTTTCGTATTGTAATATGTGTAAAGCTAAGCCATATTTTTGTTTATAATGTTTCAATAAATTTCATTAAAACTACTTTTGATCACATTTCATTGAGACTATACTTATTTTTTAACTTTAATACTGTCGGTCCGGCGGACTGACGCCAGCCAAACGAAAACTCCAGATTAATATTTGTTAAAAAACCCTATTAATATCACAATCTCATAAAATTTCACAGTTTAAAATACATGCTATTTATGACATTGATTTTTAAACAATATTAGGATAATTACACATTAAAATCTACAAAACATAAAACTCAACAAAATAATTATGCGTCTTTTTAATTTGAAGGCCTGCACAGACATTTTGGCTAATTTATATCGATTTCCTTCTCCTTAAACATGTTTTCTAACAATTAGAAATTTGTCTCAATATGCAAAACAATGTTCTCATTAGTTTCTGCGTGTTTTATCTTCCAACTGCCAACCTCTCCACAATGTACTACCTATGAGGGCTTACTTGATCTGGTAAAAGTTAAATAGTCCAACACCCCCCACCCGACAGACGTGAAACAAATTATCACTATGTCTAAAAGTAACTATAAATCAGATAATAAATTTAAATAAAGGTTTAAATAAGCTTCTTATTCAAAAAGAACTTGGAACATATAGGCCTGTTCTTATGCAAACAAAATCATTTACAGTTTGTGGTGATATAATTAAACAAGAAGAGTCAAATTCAAACTAAAAATATGGACTAGTGGTCAAAGACTATACAATTTAATTTCAATTTAATCTGGTTCAGTAACTCTATTGTCATAATATTACTATTGTCAAATATATACTCTATTGTTACTACTCTATTGTCATAATATACTCTATTGTCAAATGTCAGCAGCAGTAATGGAAAGACTAATAATTACAAATTATCAGAGCTGACACAACTAATGCAAAGAGCAAGTGGAGGTCAGAAACACACTTGTCTTACACTCCAGAAACCTTCATTTTATCACATTTTTCTGGAATCTTTTAGAATCGAGGGTCTATAATTTGTCTTAAAATCTTTCTAAATTTTCCAAGCTTCAATGTCTAAAATCCTAAAAAAAAATTACCCCTACCAATTCTGTAACAGCAAAAAGCCAGAAATGTTTTTTAAAAAAAATCGGAAGAAAAAAGGTGTGAAATCAATTTTATAGAGAAAACTGATGCATTTTCTGAGAATTCTGATCATTCTGAGAAATGGGAAAAATTCTTACCATGAAAAAATTAAAAAGACATTTTTAATTAATTACACAGCTATTTTGCTTTTGCTAAAAACTGTTTTGTAAACTGTGCTTTATAGCATTATTTCTTGCTTATTTTTCAGATTCAAAAATACAATATATGGCCAAAATGGAACTTTATAATATGACAAAGAAAAAGAAAAATATTTTATTTTAATATTATTTTTTAAATATAATTCCAATATATTACCATTATTTTAATGAAATTTAACAAAAAAATCGTCAAAAAATTCCCAGATATCATAATTAAAAATTTTCTATAGAAACCAATCTTAAAATCGCCAAAATGTTGATAATCGCCAAATTTAGAACCGTTTAATAAAAGAATTCACGTCCACAAAAGTGGAAAGTTCTTTGAGAGCTCTTCATTACAAAAAATGAAATAATTTTGAAATGCTTATGTTTCACTTCTTGTTCAGAAACTCGAGTATCCCACCATTATTTATATTACAAATAGGAAAAAATTATAACTCATGAACCCATTCAAAAAATAGCCATATTTGTCAGTGAATCGCCAAAAATATTCCTGCAAAATGCTAATTCACACTCGAAATGACAGTCGTAAAAACAGACAGAAATTTCAGATGATTAAAATTAAGGACCTGCCGCTTTTGGCCAAAATTAAGGACTTTTAAGGACCAAAAATCGATTCAAAAAACTTAAGGACTTTTAAGGACCGTACGAACCCTGATTTAGATATATTAGGCAATGTTAAAATGGTAGCGAATAATTTGATTAGATTACAAAGATTAATATTTCAAAAATTTGTAAGGAAAATATCTACTCTGCTGGCCACTTAAAATTGCTCCACCACAAAAAAAAAAAAAAAAAAAAAAAAAAAAAAAAAAAAAAATCTTATTTATTATACATATACAGCATAATGGGAGGAAAACATGATTAAAATTGCAGGTGATTTGGTGTACACAGCATGCAGAATTCAGTAGACAGATTTGTCATCTCTGGCATCAGTAAAAACTGTAATCTGGCAATTTGAGTCGAATTGAGCTTTGATGACAGATATGAGTACTTCATTCCATGTAGCTTTATGCCAGAGTTCATGAATCATAGCAGCTGGCAAGTGGTAGCATGCCAGCATCTTGGCAACCCAAGACGAAATGTCTTCAGTAGGTGAGAGTTCTGGAGAACACGCTGGCCAGAGCAATATTCAAACAACCTCTATGTAGGAGAAGGTCAGTAGAGGACTGGCAACGTGTTGTGCTTATGCTATTGTGCATTATGTTTAGCAATGTGTTGTGCATTATGTTATAGCAATGTGTTGTGCATTATGTTATGACAATGCAGGAGATCTGGAGAACATGCTGGCCAAGGCAACATTCAAACAACCTCTATTTCAAAGAAGGTCAGGACAGAATGGGCAATTTGTTGTACATTATATTGGCGCCAGGCAGGCCTTGGAAGACAGGGTGTAGCCATGAGCCTTAGCACATCAAGAATGTAATGGTAGTTCTCAGCATTACCGGCTATACAAATAAGAGGGGACTGGTATGTGTACTACCCATACCAACATACCAGGTGCTGGGCCTGTACGATGATCACTAGCAAAATTCCTTCTCCTCGGTGCCTCCCCAAATGGATACATCCATCATGAAACTGTACATGGAACAATGATTCTTCTAAACAGATGGCATTGTGTCATGCCTGTGTCTAGTGTCATCATTTGGTTCACAACTGTAGGCACATTTGTCTCTGCTTCAGCATTAGGGAAAGCCACAACAATGACTGCTGTACTGATAGTTTGTGGTACTGCGGATGTCATCACACAGTCCATCTGGGCACTTGCCGTCCTGCACATCAACCAAGTTCCTGACTCCGGGTAATGTGACGTGGCTGTATGATCCTAGAAGACAATCTTTGTCATTAGTTCCCCGGGGCCACTAAGATTCTACATGGAATTCAGTGTGGCCCTCCTGGATCCATTGATTCTATATTTGCCTGGCAGTCATAGGATTCTGAAGAACAAAAGTAACAACGTTGCAGAGCCATAAAGTGAAGTTCTGGCAGGCCCCAATTCCGCTGCGTTCAAACTTCGACACTGGAGGTAGGACTTTTTCTTTCCTACATGAGGCATAACATGGCCTGTAGGCTATCAACCAACATTTGAATGTGATTTCCAAATGAGAAACCTGCTGTGCAGTCCTTCCATTTATACACAAAGTAGATGGTGTTACTTATACACACTTTGTGTATCTGTGCTGAAATGTTTATTTATTGATTATCATTGCATATTCCAGCATGTAGCATCTTTTATGCAAAATTTGCCTATGTTGCCTTTATGATGCATCAATTTTAATGAGCAGAAGTGTATTATATAGAGGGAGAGACACACTCATTGCCTTAAAAATTTAGGCACCAGGAAAGCATTATCAAAATAGAATGAAATTTTATATATCTGAGTGAAGCAGCACCTATAATGGGTACTGCAGTATAGAATGTTTTTCAGCCAGGTGACTTGCAATGGTATGGACAAACACAAAGGCCCATACTGAAAGTGCTGTCTGTGTCTACATGGTGAACAATGATACAGTTGGTGTTGTGTACGCATGTTGGAAGATGTGACAGTTTTTTTTTCGGTTATTGCTAAGGATGTCCTGAGCCTAGCTGTATTGTATGTAACCTCTTTCTTGTCCACTGGTCACAACATCTCTTCATAGCAAAGTCAGAACAGGTGGAGAGCTACTTGCTGAGTTGACCACCTGGCTTCCATCATCCCAATAATTCTTTCCCTCTCGATCTTTGACAGATGATCATATTATATTTAATGGTGGCGTAATGGCATCCCTAGTGAACAAGTGATACTCAGCAATAAATTAAATACATGCAAAATGCTTCTGTGTATCATTTTTTATGCAGTAGGGGGGATGAGGTTCAGTACCCTAGTTAAAATTCCAATCAACAAAATTGTGCTTTAATGAGATAAAAGTTTTAGGAGTTGAAAAGAAAAAAATTCTAAAATATGTCTAATAAATATTTTCAAAAGAACAGCTAAAAATCTGAGAGCAAAGGCTACCTTGCCATTAATAACCAATCCAAGTAACTTTGATTACACAATTATCCCCTAAATAAATTCTCAAAAATTTCATTTATACAGTTAACAGGTATGGAAAAGTAGCCCATGTCTGTAAATATGTTTCAAAATATCACTGGGAATTTTTTACACAAACTTATGGGGGAAAAATCACATAAGAAATCAAATAGTAAGATTTTATTTAGATACGGACCTGTCATGCACAATATTGAAAATCTTTTCATAAAATTATCTACCTTACCTAAAGGAACTTCTGAAATAATTTAAGGAAATAAAGCATATTGCCATCATTTCGACAATTTGTGGATATGTATGTATACAATAAACCCTTGTCAAATGCAGGGGATATGTCATTACTACATTGCAGCCAAATTGTATCCTGCAAAGTTAACTTTATATGGAGATATAATTCAAATTTAGAAAGTATTAATATTTTTAAACAAACCTAAATATTATAATTAAAAGGATAAAAAAGGAAACAAATGCATATAGAAATTTTTATTACTTTCATTCACTTTTTATTCTCATATATTATTTATTTTTAATAAGTATGTGATACAATTATATTTTTAAAAAGGTGATTTTTGCTTGGGATAATGACTGATGCAACCCTTTAACACTAGAATTACAGTGGTCTTCGTATACCTAGAATTACGGCGGGTGTCATTTTGACCCCTTGATAAGATATCTGCATATTTCTCTATGTAAAATAATATATTTGTGAAAAAGAAATTAAAATAATGCAAATTATGACAACTACAGTTTATTTTAAAGAATATAGAGACTTTAAAGGTATGTAGTCAAATAATGAACAAGCATTTAAATATTTCCATCGTAAAATGTAATTTTTTTTTTTCCTTTTCTATAGCTTACATTTCAGAAACACAGAAAATGTATAAATATTTACGCAAATTTTTCCAAAAAAAGTGGTTTTTAATACAAATATTAAAGTATTTTAAAACAAACTTTTTGCTATAAAGAGTACATAGAAATATTTTATTTACAGATAATATATTAGTCAGCGCAGCAAGCAATTAGCACACATGCTTATCTTTCTGATTTTTTGTATACAATATCTGCATACATATTTATTACAGTTGTCGCAAATATTAGAAGTTTTGATACCTTTGCATTTCCTTGACATTTCTTACTTTTTTTTTTTTTTTTTTGATTCTATTGAATCTTGTTCATCCACAAAGCCACTTGAAGAGAGAAAAAATTTGTTCTTACCGAATATATATATATTCTTAGTTCTTCTGCCAAATGCAATAGAAAATCCCTTCTGCTGATATTTTCTGTTATAACTTCCTTATACAGAATCCACGCATTTATGCCTGCTAAGTCCAAAATATTGTAGAATACATGCACTGGCCAACGGCGTGATGGTGCTCTCCCGGAGTACTTTCTTGCCATTTGATCCAAAACATCTAACCCGACATTTGTAGAATTGTAAAACTGTATTACATCACGAACCTTCTTTTCATTAGATTAAAATTCAACTGATGAATGGAGTGTACTTAATAAAATTACATTTTTGTTCCTTTTACTTTGATATGATGTAAGTGTTATATAGTCGCGTTTCATCACAACTGAAGAAAAAGTTCGTTTCTTACATTTTTGAAACTAGCGGGAATTTCTCTTTTTGTGCGATTTACTGTTCCAACATGACACAATCCTTTTTATTTTAGGAATTTCGCAAGTTTTACTGATGTAAAGAAACTGTCTGTTGTTACATTTCAGTCAGTATTTTTGTAAGGATCAACTAAACAATTTACTACGTTCTCTCCTAAACTTTGATCACTTGGTCTCATTTCATCTTTTCCTAAATATGGAAATAAGTTTAATAAGTATTTTGTCCTAACGTCTACTGCTAGCCAAAATTTTATTCCGAATTTATTGGGCTTGTTTAAGGCATATACTGCAAAAAATGGCATCTTGTTTTTGTAGGGAATAACTGTTCATCAATCGTAATGTTTTAATTTGGCTTGTAGCAAAGCTTACAGTTGTCTATAAAAGTATTCCATACTTCGGATACTAGTACAAATTTATCACACTGCAAACGTGAAGACCTTGTTAGTTTATTATCAAAATGAAGAAATTTCATAATTTCCAGAAACTTATCTCTACTCATAGTTTCATGAAAAGACTTTGGTCCCCAAGTCTTGGACCACAAACTAAGAATCGTAAGCCCTTGGCGGCTAATGCCCCCTTACGACAACGCTATGAATGCTTCCAGTTCTGCTAGTAAAATAGTGAAAGAGTCATTATGAAGTTTACGCTTGGCTTCAGCATCAGTATACTCCTTTATGATGTGTAAAATTTTTCATTTATTATTAACTTCCACGCACTAAGAGCTTTACCAGAACCAATGTCACGTTTAGCATAGGATGTCGGTCCTTCCTTTTCAGAAACAAATCCATTTGTACTTTCACTTGAGCTAGAAGATGATATTGCCTGATTACTCTATATTAAATTCAGAATCACAAGATGTTTCATCTCCATCTTTATCTGTAGAATTACTTTCGATTTCAGAACTGGAATCGGCATCAGATAGTTCTTGCATCAGTTTTACGATTTCTTCATGCGTCAGTCCTTTCCTATGCACCATTAGTACGTCACTATAATAAATTCATGTAAATAAAATAAAAGTTCCCACTAAAACTTGTTATTAATAATAAACAAAATATCTATGAGAAATCTACAAATGTTCAGCTCGTAATAATTTTTTTTCTCTGTTTTCTTTCCACAAAGAAAAGTATTGCACATATTTCAAATCATGTGACTGGCAGATGTGAAACTATGCAGACCATATTATTACACCATATTATTAGACCATATTATTACACCATATTATTTTCATTTGTTTGTATTTTGTTTAGCAGGTGCAAATAAAAATAGTTTACAGAAGTAACAGTGTTCAGATAATACAATGGAATGTATTCACATTTCTTTAATCTCAAAGGGGTCAAAATGACACCTGCCATATTTCTAGGTATAATCATTTGTATAAGCATATTTATTCTTTGTCCTATCAATTATTGTGATTTCATTTTTCTTCCACTCACGTATGGAGCATTTATAAACACCAAACATCCTTGCTGCAGCACAATTTCCATTTTCTTTTGCAAACTGAATCATTTTGCATTTAAAACCTGCACTATGTTTGTGTCTTTTTATAGCAGCCATATTTACTACTAAAAGGAACACTAGATCAATTGTACTTCAACTAAGGAAAATGTGATTTACTAAAGCTTTCGATGATTATGGCTTCAAATGATTACAGAAAGAGAAAACATCTGTTTCATAATTCCATGAATCCATACAGGTTAGAAGTGCATTCTCACAAGAAATTACGTCCCTCTTTTATTGAAACCCTAGAATAACATTCTTGTGCACAACTGCATTGAATACACCCACCCTCTTTGCAAAATTATTTACTCCCCTCAAGTATTTTTCCCATACACATGCTGTTCGCCTTATCGCCTGCTAATTCAGTATACACAGTTCAAAAGCCAGGGAATAATCTTCGAATGAATGACTTCAAAAGATAAGAACATCACACATGCATTTTTCATATTTCTTCACAAAGAAAAGGATGCACATTATACGGTGAATATATCTAAAAATTAAAAAATACAGTTTAAAATTATAGGTGTGTTATGCATGGAATATATGGTACATAAAATAATAATTAACAAAAAAAATTAAAAAAATAAGTAAAACATATCACTTTCATATAAAATTCAGTAGTTATTCAATATTTGTTAAGCTTCATCTTTATTATTTGATTAAATAAACGTTACTACACTTTTTAGATCATTATTTAAATATAAGAGAGGAGCTGGAAGAAAATCTTGCCTATAATTTTCAGACATACCTTTAAGTGCCTTTCCTTTTCATGAACAACACTTTTTGCAATGTTTGCTGCTGGATACAGAAAACTAAGGCAGATTGCAACAGTAAAATAATATTCAGGAGAAGAATAAAATGTATCATATTTATATGGTGGTTGAGGAAATCGTTGCATTGCAATAGAAAATGAAGTATCTACATCATCTCGTAAGTCAGTCAACAGATTTTCCATCAAAGTAGTAGTAGTAGCATGTTGTAAAGGCAAGAAATCTAACAGCATGTAATCTGCAAGAGAGAAATACTGAATAAATTTTTATAGAATTTTATAAAATTAAAGCTATGCTCATAAATAGACATTTCTTTAAAATGTGTAACCACATATTAACACTTCCTGAAGAAGAATACCTTTGTACTAAATAACACCTTTACACTATTTACACACTTGCTAACTTTAATCCACAATAGTATTAAAAGGCCTTAATATGGACAGCAGTCTAAGCAAAATTACTTTTATTTATTTAAGTTTAAAGTTACTCCATTAACAAATATCAATAATTTGCTTTATAGCAATAATGTTACTTTATATTAATTGTCTACAGTTTATGCAGCAACTCAAAAAAATATTTATACCAAAGTAATTCTTACTTTATAAACACAAAGTACTTAAAATCAAAATTACTATTTAATTTTAAAAATCATGTTCTTACTAAAGTGAATTTAAAACATGTGTTAAAAAGTGTGTGCTAAAAATGTGCAACATAACAGTTTTTCAAATATAAAACAGCCTTTTTTTTCTTTTTAATGATTTTTTATTATGTCAAACAACAAACAAGATGATATTTATGCAAACTAGTATTTTTTTTTTTTTTTTTTCATTTTCAGCTATGATGGTGTTAACCAAAAAGTTTATAAAAATTTATTTAAAATTCACCTTTCCTTTTGTTACCTATCCTTTTGTATATCTTATTTACACCACTGCAAGGTGCAACCTTTTTAGGTTAGACCCAGGCATCATGCATTCATAAATTGCACGAGAAAAATACGTGCAATTTACGAATGGCCTTTCGTATAAAAAACGTTCAAGTTGAACGTAAAAATATCATAAAAAGTGTCCAGTGGCAATTACTAAACATTTACGTATATTTTTACGTTATACTATACGTAACTTTTACGTAAAATTTAGGTATATTTACGCGAGAGACTACTGTTCATTCGCAACTTTTATGTATAATATACGTAAATTTCAGGGATTTATCGCATATACGTAAATCTCAATTTTTTGCTTCACGTATGCGTATATTTAGTAAAAATTTACGTAAATTTCCCCGATTTTTTACTGTAATAAACGTATATATTAGGTAAAAATATGCGAATGACTGGTAAAAATTTAATCCGATGTATTCTCCACTTTACTGTGTATAAATGCACATTTTTTGGTAAAAAATTTGCATAAATCTCCAATTACCTTTTCACTGCATTTTTCATAAAATGTACTTATTTTAATCTCATATTTTTTATATAAATCTATGTAAAAACTTTCTGTATGCTATGATTAAAAGGTAAAATAATTTTTATATCAAATTCTTACATATCTGCCTTTTAGTTATGTACAGCAATATGGAATATATATAACTGGAAAATTTAAATGCACTAGTAAATGAAAAAAAAAAAATATCTATTAAAAAATTACGTAACACTTAAAGGCTGAAAACGACTTTTAATATTTCATTTCAAAGTGACTTCAAAATATGCAATAAATTTCGTAAACATCAATTCTGTGTTTTAAATCAATTAATGCTATCGTTCATTTGAATTTTTGTTTACTAAATTCATTCCATAAATTTAAATTTAGTAAAAAACTGTAGCAAACAGTTGTTTACTAAATTCATTATTACTAAATAACACTTTAAATAAATTATTTGCTTTTCCGAAGGACATTTTCTTATGCCATGTAAATGAACGATAGCATTAACTGATTTAAAACACAGAACTCAGGTTTACAAAATTTATTGCATATTTTGTAATCACTTCGAAATGAAATATTAAAAGTGATTTTCAGCCTTTTAGTGTTATGTAATTTTTGAATAGAAATTAATTTTTTTTGCATTTAAATTTTCCAGTTATATATATTCCATATTGCTGTACATACCTAAAAGGTGGATATGTAAAAATCTGATATTAAATTAATTTTATCTTTTAATCATAATATGCAGAACATTTTTGCATAGATTTATATAAAAAGAGATTAAAATAAGCACATTTTACGAAAAATGCAGTAAATAGTAGGAAAAAAAAATTTTTACCAAAGGTAATGGGGAGATTTATGCAAATTTTTACCAAAAATGTTGCACTTATACACAGTAAAGAGGAGACATTGGACTAAATTTTACCAAAGTCAATCCGTATATGCAAAGAAAACATAGGGAAGATTTAGGTCAATTATTATCAAATATATAAGTTTTTGTACCGTAAAATACAGGGAATATCTACGTTAATTTCTATCTAAAGTACAATATAGTTAACAAATTCAGTAAACGAATGTAGCACAAAAGAAAACATCATATGTTTAGATTATTTGAATGAGTGTGCTAAATTTTAAAATTGTTAAATATAGACCAGGAAATTGTAGAAAAACTAACCTTTTCCAATAGTTTACCAAGTTGACTTTGTTATTTTCCTTGAAGATGAATGTTTAATGTCACAAATATTTCATTCATATCTTCAGATAATACACAAATATATACATATTTATTTATTAAAATTCAGTTTATTCCAAACATGTTAAAGAAAATATTAATTTGCATACAAGTTAATCAAGTAACTTCTGTTTTAATTACACACATAATTATGATATGTAAAAATTTTACATTTATCAGTCAATCTTGCAATGTATTGTAATGTATTGTAATTATTGTTGTCTTTCTCAGTTTAAAATCTTATAATATATCAGATCAGTACTAAAAGTTCACCTCTACAAAAGAAATGCTTTATTGAGGTATTTTTAAAAGTTCCCTTTTACAATGTAACTGTTAATTATGTTCAAAATTACCTAAATTAATTTAGAATTTTAAATGTTTGTTGTGGAATTTTTTATATTATCTCATGTGACTTTTAAATTATAAATGTACATGTTATGTGGACATACAATTATTTTTTTCATCAAATAGCTTCAAAATTAGAAGTTGGCTAATTTTTATTAATTTGTTGTCAAATGCTGTGGCATTTTGATTATGCTCATACATATGACAATGAGTTATTTCAATTATAAAATTATTATGAACATATCCCACATAACAAGTATAAAATTTCAAGTTGTTTGAAGTATTATGAACTGTAATACTTGCAAAAGAAATACACATGAAATTAATTTAAGAATTAGGTTTATTTTACAGGTATTCGAAAACTGCAATTTACTGTTAAACAAAAAAACATAACATAAATCTGAAGAGCAATATAAAATTTTTCAACATAGACTTCATGCAGCTTCGCCATATTTGTTCTATAGTTCGCTGTCTTTAATATCCTGCTCGATTTTTGTAAAAGTGAATTCTTTGTCACCCAATGTTTTGAGAACAGCTCCTAAACAAGAAAAAGAAAAATTTGTAATAATTTCACACTTCAGATGTTTTTAGTTTTTAAATAGTTGAAGTATATTAAAAGATGCATATAAAATGCACTGAGTATTCATATTTAAAAATTTCATTTCAGTAATTAAAAATTTAATTTCATACTATCACACAGTAAGCTTCAATTATATACCTTGCCTATAATTTCAAGTAAAAAATACTTAAGATTTGTTTAGAACTGCAAGGTTGAGAAAGTCTTTAATGGCTATGTTTATATTAAGTACATGAGAAAAAACTTAATTTTGTATTAATTATATTCCATTAGCCTTTTCAATTTTACTTCCTACATATAGTAAAGAATATTCGCTTGATAACTTTTTCTTAAATAAAGAGTAAGCAGAAAACTAATCACAACACTATATATATAACAGAATACTTCATAAACATATGTCATTAACATACGTATATGCATTAACAGGCTATTTTACACATTTCAATAAACCAGAAACCAATACACAATCAAAAGTATTATCAGTAAATTCCTCCAAAATCAGAGCAAAAATCTTAATTATGATAACAATGACATCTCATCAGTTGCAATCTAAAATATTTCAAGTCTACATTCATGTGCATTCTAAGCAAATAGAAAGCTGAATAACAATAAAATTATAAATACCATAAAAAGTTAAGAGCCACGTAGAATGATAGCAAGACTAAATGAAGTCTTCCTTCAAAAATCAATTTAAATTAAAAATTTGCCTTCCTGTTTAACATCTCAAAATAGAGTTACTGCTTTCACTAACTAAATTTCCTGTCTTGGCAAAATAAAAATTGTCACTTCTGTTGCAGGAAATATTTGCTGCAAACTTTGTATGCAAATAATCCAGTGAAAAAAATTTTTAATTGTGACTTGAATATTTTTCTTATAAATGAAAAATTGCCACATAAATATTAATCCACATTAATCCACATGAAGCTTTTTATACCTCTATAAAAGCCACAGAATTTTTTACCAATATTAATAAAACATTAATAAATCTTCTCAAGCCCCACTGAATTTATACCCAAAACCTAAATGTAATGCATTTGCATTGCATTAAAATTACAATAACTTATAAAAAAAACTTAATTCATTACAGGATTTCACAATGAAAGAACTACCTTTAATAGTTGTAAAAGATTATATTTAAAAAAAGCTAATATTGTTTACCTTACACATGGCAGAAATTGAGTAAACTGAAATGCAGCTGAACTTTATTAGAATAGAAGTTAGATCAAAGTACCAAAGTCACACTGGGCTTTAACACCATTTGGGTGCAAAGAAGCATAATTTAAAAAAGAATAATTTTAAAAGAATTTGAATCAAACCTTAAATTAGTACCAATTTATGACAGTTGACACTAAATGCATTATTTATTTGCATATTTTCCTTCTTTCAACTTTTTTTACCATTTGGGTAGAAGAGCATCTCAATTTAAAATGTTAAACTAAAATATTATGCTTTCTCCTTAAATTTCATATTAAATGCAAAGTGGTAAAACAAAATAAAAACAGATATACAAAAAAAAAAATTATAACTAATAAAAAAAAAGAGGGATGGAAATTGATTTTTTAACACATGAAAAGAAAAAGTTATTTAAAACTTTTAAATTAATTATATTTTACCTTCGTCAAACCAATATTGGTAAGAGAGTTGTATTTAAAATCGGTGCTAAGCTA